TGGAGTTTAACACTGAGTTGTAGAAGTGGTTTGGAGTTAAACACTGAGTTGTAGAAGTCGTTTGAAGTTAAACACTGAGTTGTAGAAGTCGTTCTAAGTTAAACACTGAGTTGGGCATATCGACCTTTAAGTAAGAGACAGGTGCCTAGCTTGCTGTGACGCAGTTCTCTACAAAGAGGTTTGAGGGTGAGAAAGATGACACCTGCCAGGTAAGTGTTGCAACTGAATGCACGGCGCCGCAGCTGAGCTAATGATCTATGTCTGAGAGATGCCTGGGAGGAGAGGGGGTTTTCCTGGCGATGCTGTGCGGTTGGGGGGGGGGAGGCAGATACAACGATTCAAGAGTTGATTTAATAAACTTGTAATTGACAACGCTTTGATGCTGAATCAGTCAGCTGCTTTCATTTTCTCTGTACACTCAAAACGCATTTACATGTTTGGGAGGAAAAACCCGAAAAGCCATTAAGTCGGCAGTTTCTCTTGGTTACTGGGACAATGTAAAGGAAATAGCTCTTCTACGTCTAAGATCAGAAACATTCGATGAAAGGTCTAGAACAGTGGCTCCCAAACTTCCTAATGCCTCGACCCTCTAGTACAGTTCCCTCATGTTGTGGTGACCCTCTAATACAGTTTCCGCATGTTGTGGCGACCCTCTAATACAGTTCCCTCTGTCCACTTTTTTTTTTTTTTTTTAGCAAGATTGAGTTCGCCAATCTCCTTCCCTTTCTTCGTCATCTTCTTATCGCGTTCATCGGCTGTAAACTCCGACGGAAAGTTCTGGTTGTTCGTCCACTTCTCGACGCTAGTCCCGTTCCAGAACCTAAGTGTTGCGTGCAAATGTTTTACAGGTCTTACTCATTTGTATGTACACTGTTGGTTCCGTGCCTCTCAGGCAGATGTACTCCGACTTTCGAAGGAAGTTCCTAATTAGTGGACTCTTACGACATGATCTCGAGGAGGCAGTGGGTCTATTCTCGCTATCCCCCCAATGGGAACCCGGAACTCATACGAGGAACGACGTAATTTGAAAGTGAATGGTTTTAGTTCGTAGTGCAACCAACCTCTGTACTGTGTGCACTTGTCTGCTATCAAAACACGTCAAGAAAGCGATCCCTTTCATTTATCAGAGAAAGACCCATTGCCGATGTATTTCACTTCTCAGGGTCACCAAGATGGCTTCTAAGTAGAGTTTAATACTACCAAGTCTAGCCAGTCTAATATCAGGGTCTCTGTCTCTTGAGAATCGCTTTACCTTTCTAGTAGGCTGCAACTCGCAAACTAGACAACGTCCGACACAGCTTTATCTCATATTTTTGTGTAACAGCCCTTGCCTTGCTCATTTTTTTTTTTTTTCTGGCTAGCATTCATTTTCTGTATTGACACTGTCTCAGAGCTGCAGATGATCAGACCGACATGTTGATTTGTTGTATTGACACCATCTCAGAGCTGCAGATGATCAGACCGACATGTTGATTTGTTTAGCGACCTCAGTTAAAGTGATTTTACGTATTTTTGTTTGTAAACGTATCTTTGTCTATTAGTGTCATGCGCCGATGAAGGCTTTTTAGCTGAAACGTGCGCTTGTTGTTTAAGATTGTGATAATTTGAAGCTTACTAGTTATATTTTTAATTCGGTTTGATATCTTGTCAGGCTATAACTACCCGAGAAGTACTGACCATATGGCGGTCATTACTCTCCTCTAGGTACTATCAGCAGGATAAACACCTCAAAGACGAGAATCACACTGTATAAAACAGTAATCTGTGGTCCAATAAGGGCTGAGATTATTGTTTGTATTCTTGTGCATGCGGGCATTGTCTGGTATTTGTGAACAGACCACATGATGGCGGATGTGTTCAACGTCACGCAGGTACTTGTTTTGTTTCTCTTTCTAACATACTTCAGCCATTTCAAATGTCATTCTTTGTTTATAATTAACTGTATTGAAAGGTAATAGTAGTATAAGAAAACAGTCAGAATTGTATGTGAGTACAGAAAGCATCAAAGTGAGTAAACAAATAAATGATAGAACTTCGTTTCACATTACTTAGGGCATTGGTTCTCAATCTTCCTACTGCCACAATCCTTTAATACCTTTCCTCATGATGTGTTGCCACCCTCCCCCCCCCCCCCCACCCCTCAACAATAAAATTATGTTCGTTGCGACCCCTGTGAAAGGGTCGTTCGACTGGGTTGTTCGGGTGTGAGATGGTGAATGATCACATATACTGGAACTTGATTTGTTCGACCCGAGAGACTAATTCCTTGTTGTTCTCATTGCAGAGAAAACAACAGAGTCAAGTGTTTATGCAACAGTAATAAAACTTCCTTGGCACTGGTGCAAGAAAACCTGTACCCGTCATACTCAGCCTGCAAGAAGTGCCAAGCCTTAACTAGTCACATCCAAGCTGCAAGAAGAGCCTTGAAGTTGAGTATTTTACAAACGGCAGCCTCATTTGAAAATCGTCAGAACTGGAAAGGAGCCAGAAATATTATAACTGACGAAAGAATGTAGATTGAAGACTGCTTTTCTTGATTGGATAGTCGTGGATGGAAACATAAATACACTCATCGTGAAAACTGTCAGCGCTGCTGCACACGCGTGAAGTTAGTTTGTGTTTACTGAGAGTGATAGACTTAACTAAAAATAAGACAGAAATAAGACTGTCTGCCTTTACCCTTGATCTGGGTTCGGGTAGGCCGGATAGTGCGTGGCTGTGCTAAAGTAGCAGCAGGACTTAGGCTATCTAAACCCAATGGTGGGAGAGGAAACAGTTACATGGTTAGGTGTCTCTTATCTCAGGTAGAGGGCGATAAACAGTACACGGTGTTACTGTGGTTTTATATAGTGATGACAGGAGAGAGACTAACGAGTATGTGATTTATTTTCTTCGTTGTGATGAAAGAAAACTCAGCCCCAGTGTTCAATCAGTCACGATGTTTCCTTCCCCACAACTTTCATTTATCCTCATCCATTCTCTTACCCACAAATCTTACTCAGCCATTCTCTAACCCTCACAACTCTCTCACTCAGCCACTCACTTATCCTCACACTCTCTCGCTCAGCCACTCACTTATCCTCACACTCTCTCACTCAGACACTTACTTATCCTCACACTCTCTCACTCAGACACTCACTTATCCTCACACTCTCTCACTCAGCCACTCATTTATCCTCACACTCTCTCACTCAGACACTTACTTATCCTCACACTCTCTCACTCAGCCACTCTCTAGCCTCACAACTTTCACTTAGTTGCTTTGTTAATCCAAAACTGTCACTCAACCATTCTCTTACCCACACAATTTTTACTCGACCACTCTCTCACCCTCACAACTAGCTCACTCAACCACTCTCTTACCCTCACAACTAGCTTACTCAACTACTCTCTTACCCTCACAACTATTACTCAGTCACTCTCTTACCCCCACAACTAGCTCACTCAACCATTCTCTTACCAACACACTTTTTACTCAACCACTCTCTCACCCTCACAACTAGCTCACTCAAACACTCTCTTACCCTCACAACTAGCTTAATCAACTACTCTCTTACCCCCCTCACAACTATTACTCAGTCACTCTCTCACCCCCACAACTAGCTAACTCAACCACTCTCTTACCCTCACAACCAACTCACTCAACCACTCTCTCACCCTCACAACTAGCTCACTCAACCAGTCTCTTACCCACACATTTTTTACTCAACCACTCTCTTACCCTCAAAGCTAGCTCACTCAACCACTCTCTTACCCCCACAACTAGCTCACTCAACCACTCTCTTACCCTTACAACTAGCTCACTCAACCACTCTTTTACCCTTACAACTAGCTCACTCAACCACTCTCTTACCCTCACAACTAGCTAACTCAACCACTCTCTTACCCTCACAACTAGCTCACTCAACCACTCTCTTACCCTCACAACTAGCTCACTCAACCACTCTTTTACCCTCCACACCTGTCACTCAGACCCTGTATCCTCTCCCAACTTTCCCCCAGCAACTGTACGCTCCCCTGCCCCCGCCCCCTCTAAACACTCAGCCATCTCAAGGCTAGAGAAGAATATACGCATGAGCTGTTTCCCAGGGTTGCCATGGCAACAGGCTCTCTCTCCAGGTGGGATCCAAGATTGATAGCGCGGAAAAGGTTCCCAGTCTGCGTTGTTTGATGACCGGCGGGCGGGCTGGCGGTGGAAAGGAGGGTGCTTGGTTAAACTTCTAGAGGTCTAGATGGAAGATGTCGACTCTGGGAATAATCATGTTGTTTTAGACTTTTATCACTTGCCACCTTATTTTAACCTTACACTCTAAATTGAGGAGTTTTTCACTATCACTCTCTAACTCAACGAGTCATTTACTCTGACATTCTTACTCACCGAGTTACTGATACTCTCACACTCTAACTCAACGAGTCATTTACTCTGACATTCTTACTCACCGAGTTACTGATACTCTCACACTCTAACTCAACGAGTCATTTACTCTGACATTCTTACTCACCGAGTTACTGATACTCTCACACTCTAACTCAACGAGTCATTTACTCTGACATTCTTACTCACCTAGTTACTGATACTCTCACACTCTAGATCAGCGAGCCACATACTATGACCCTCTACCAACCAACAGCCAACAGATCAGTTAACAAACCAACTCACCAACATATCACCCATCTAATCTAATTCATGATTCTTTTTCAAAATGGCTTCCGGTGCCAGGAAACTTGTTATTTTACTGCGTCGTGGAGCCCTTTCTCAACTCACACAATGACTGGCTGCTTCTAGGGTCTCCTGCTGCTACTTCATCAACTATGTTCTCTCCAAAAATGTGGGATTTTAATTCCTCCGGTTGCACTGAAACTTTACAGTTCCAGTGACTGAGCCTGGTATGTTTTTCTTAAGATAAATTAAAAGCGAAAGAGAGATGGAAATGATTTGGGAAGAGGGATAGGGGAGAAAAGCCAAGAGAAGAGATATATAGTCATGAAGTAAAACTTACGTGAGGGCGCCTCCATTCAAAAGGGCGGGGCGGTTTCTTGCTAAAGAAGATGGACGAGTCCTCGGCTTCAAACTCGGGATCCTCGAACTTGGTGCCGTCTGCCAGGCACTTGGCCAGGATCTCCTCGTACTTCTGGCGGGCTAACCCAGCGAATGGATTCTTTCTCTCCAAGCTGGCAGCGGAGACCACTCGCTCGGGGAACGGACACTTCTTGTTACCGCCGAACATAGTCTTGAGGCCTTCAACGCCAGCCATCATTAGCCCTTTGATATATGTGGAGCTGACGTTCTCCCCAATCATTTTCTGCACTTGCCCGATGCCTGCTTGCAAAAGAGCTTGGCCTCCAGCTTTCGTGATGTTTTCCAGGTTGTCGCCAATAAGTTTCTGCACCCCGCCAGCCCCAGCCTTGAAGATGCCATCGCCGAATGAGGTAGTGTTCTGTACCGTACTGCCCACCGTTTTCTGCACATTGGCAATGCTGGACTTCAGGTAGGCCTCGCCTCGCGCTGTGGTGCTTTCGATAGTGTTAGTCACACCTTTTTGCACCCCATCAATGCTAGACTGCAGGTAGGCCTGGCCTCGGGCAGTGGTGCTTTCTATGTTTGCAGTCACGGTTTTCTGCACTCCTTCAAAGCTAGATTTGATACTGGTCTCGCCACGTGTGGCCGTGCTTCCTACGTCACCCATGACTTTCTGGGCCCCACCAACTCCAGACTTGAGCGCTGCATCGCCACGAGCAGCAGAACTGTCAATGTTATCCGCAACATTTTTCTGTACTTCGGCAATTCCGGCCTTCAACTTGGCCTCGTTCTGGGAGACAGAATTCTCCACCTCCTTTCGGCATTTGTTCAACTCGTCTTTGACTCCGCCGCTAAATTTGTTCAAGAAATTCATGTTGAAATGCTAATAATGTTCAGTGTTTTTGTGTCACTTTAAACAAGTTCAAGATCTGTGAAACAATGTCCGACACTCAACAAGAGTGCACCTCTAGGAATTTCTGACATAATCACAAACTATGCCCTTAACAAACGATAACTGCGGTGTCTACCTCTTCTCTAGTCTAGCGGGTCCTCTTGACTGCACCCGGCTTTATCCCATATGGCCGCGTCTCTCTCAGCAGAGCTGTCGCCGAGGTCGTTTACAAAGAACGAGACTCCGAATCTAAAGCGACGATTTTCATGGATCTCCATATATATATATATATATATATATATATATATATATATATATATATATATATATATATATATATATATATACACACACACACACACACACACTGGGGAACTAAATAATTTAAACCCTCGTCCACGACGCTGAGAACGCGAGGTAAACAAGATATGTAGCCTACAGATGTAAAGCTGGCTATCAAATGTAAGAATCATCAAACGTGAAGACAGAGAAGTCATCAAACTCCTACTATTGTTTGGCCCACATTATGCTACCGGTCTCAAACTTGGACCTTCACTGACTATTGTTTGGCCCACATTATGCTACCTGTCTCAAACTTGGACCTTCACTGAAACTAATGACGGCAACATCAGAACAACGTAGATCAGATTTCTTCGAAATAACAAAAACAGATACAATTTAAAAATAAAGAAATTATAAGACTTAACAGCAAACAACTAGAATACACACAACAAGTAAGAAAGTACATATAAAAAAGATTCAATATTATGCACCAACAAAAGATAATCTTGAGCCAACTAATACTGCAACATGTGCCAGTAAAGAACGGTGAGTTATCAGAGAAACGATCATTCACAATTTAGATGGTGGGTGTCCTGTATGTCGAGATAAGATACGAAGGACAGGTTATGTGAAAACTATAGGAAGCACGGTCTTGGGTCATCAATACAAATGCAAAAGAATTAACGAACATTCGAGTAATTTGGTCTGTCATAGAATGAGGTCTCTCCCCCCGCCTACCTTTTTTTCCATTAAAAAATACACAAAAATACATGAAAATAACACGGAGATTAAAAGACCTCAAGACAGACAATCAGATTTCTCAAAGCTGTGTTAACAAGAAATGTAGGTCATCTCTACATGACGACACAGTTATAAGAGCTGCAGACGTAAGTTCAGTTCCATGTGATGATAGCAATGACACTGAGACTGTGTGGCATGATGACTCACAAACATGGAAATCAGTATAAACTAGAAGATTTCAGGAATCTAGAAACTATGGGAATAATTAACCGGCACATTCTATAATAAGCTCCAGATTCTGCAACAGGTAACAGACAGAGTGAGCACTGGGAAATCATAGACATATGGAAGAATCGTGCACTCAAATCCTTGGTAGCAGAGAACCGTAGCATAAACACGGATAACACCTGAACCTATTGAAACACAGACCAGCTAAACACGGCAGATTCAAACACAAGCAAAGCCAGGCCTCTCGATGCAGAGCATTTGTACAATTACACAGAAGCCAGTTAAGAAGTTGGAGAGCGTATTAAAGATAAATATTTGGTGGTCAAACAATAGATGGTCAAACTTTAGAAGGCCTAATTAGAGAGGCAAAAGTAGCAGCAACGAAAGGAAACAAAGGCCAACCATTTTGTTAACCAAAATTCTACTACCAGTGTCAAATATGAGTCGTAAATAAAACTAATGAGATCCAAAATATAACAACATAGGTGCGATGTCATAGAAGAGTTGCCGGAGTTACTTGCAGATATAAAATAAAAAATGGAGAATTATAAGATCACTAAGCCGAGACTGGGCCGATAGCAAAGACAATACTTCAAGGAACATCGGGAGGGGGGGGGGGGTGTGGGTGTGGTAGTCGAAGAAGAGGAGGGTAAAGTAGGACCAGAATGACAACATCAAGATATGGACACGACTAAATTATCATACACTTGTTCAACAAGCGGAAGACATAGAAAGATGGCAGGTTTTGTATATTAGTGCTTCCATCGATACACCTGCACGGCACTAACGGGTCAAGGGTTATTTCACGTAGGCCTGAAACCAGTCATACAAGTCATTTAAAAGCAAGAGATAATATGGTTCGATCATCTGAAGAGAATGCCCTGGTACCAGCTGCCACAGAGAGTCACGCTGAAGAAATATAATGGACACAGAGCAAGGGAAAGACCATGCTAAACACAGAACGATAGCATCAAGAACGTCTTGGAAAAATAAAGACCAGTTTAAACAACGCATTGGAAAGAGAACACAAAAATCCATACATCTCTCCCCAACAATTCGATGAAGGAAATGACGGAAGAAAAAAACGAACGAACTTTATTTTTACAGGGTTAAGATTTGGATACGCAGGAAAAGAAAAAGGAAAGAAGAAGCATAAGAAGAAGAAGAAGAAGAAGAAGAAGAAGAACATGATGAAGAAGAAGAAGAAGAAGAAGAAGAAGAAGAAGAAGAAGAAGAAGAAGAAGAAGAAGAAGAAGAAGAAGAAGAAGAAGAAGAAGAAGAAGAAGAAGAAGAAGAAGAAGAAAAAAAAGAAGAAGAATAAAAATAAAAATAAGAAGATTCTTTACAGAACGTCGCTCTTGTCACGATACGCCTAAAAGTCTCTTTCTCTAGCAGGTTCTCCAGCCCTAAGTGCTTTCATAACCACTCGCAGGACACAACACTGCATAATTACCCGACACAATCTATTAGCGAATAAAGAATTCCAATGTCAGAAATAAACCTACACACTGGATCCCAGAAATGACTGACGGGGTACAACAAATCAACAAATCACCAGCTGTCGTTACAATTACTAGTTATTTAACATGCAATATGACAGATGTCAGTACTTAACGTACAGTCTGACAAATGTCTATATGGCCTACAACAACCGGAAATGCTTGAGTGAAGCAAGGCTGCTGCATGTCAATGCTCCAATGACTGTGTCCACGGTTAAGCTCCCAGAGCTAGGCCTGAACTAACTAACCCAGCAACTGAAGCAACACACGTCAGAACAACGTTCTGTGCAAGTGTTGCAAGTATACAACAACTTGCATGTGTTTGATGTCTGTCAATCGGCTGTGACAAATCTGCTTTAGCCGAAGGCAGTCAACCTGAAATCCCAAAGAACACAAAAACTTCACGCTGCTCGTCGTCGTAATACGTAATAATTTGTAACTTGTCAAACCTGGCCCATAAAAAAACACAGGTACAGCCTTGAACTCAACAGTTCGCTGGTCGAATCTCACCTGCCTTGCAGGGCAAGCTACACATGTACACTATCTGAAGTAGCTGGTAGAAGACGAAGAGGAAGAAGATAAAGAAGAAAAAAAAAGAAAGAGAGAAAGAAGAAGATAAAGAAGAAAAAAAGAAAGAGAGAAAGAAGAAGGAGGAGGAGGAGGAGAAGAAGACGACGAAAAAAGAAGAAGAAGAAGAAGAAGAAAAAGAAGATTAAGAAGAAGATTAAGAAGGCATTAGGAGAAGGAGAAAGTATAGAGACAAATGGGTGTCTCTGCGAGGGGGGGGGGGGGGGGGTGGGGGTGTGGTTTTTCTGTACACGACAGCTCTCATAGCATTCGTTTTTCATTTGTTCAGATGTTACACTGTGGCTGTAACTATGTTTTCCCAACACTACAGACACACACAGCTGGTTTGTGGGCTTTCTATCTGACTTCCCAACCAGACATCACCCAATGTTGCAAGGACAAGCAACGTTTCCCTGCACATTCAATTCGATTAAAGGTTGCATCAATAGAAAAACATTCATGCATAAAAGCCATGAAACAAATTTCATCAAGCATGACACGTATGAACCAGTTGGACTTGCAACTACGACTCTGACGTAGCAAGCAACAACTTAATTCAAACTAACGAGGAAGTCCATTGATTGGGACACACGGGAATAGTTGAGCTCGGCTGTCTCACAACTAGAAGAGAGGTCCTCTAGTGAATAGCACCATGGCGATTGAGTCCCTGGCAAATATGGACATCTTTTAACTGAAGGTGGAAGATGCAGTGCTACGGACTTGTAATGAGATCTAACGGCCTCTCGAAAAGAATGCTACAGGGTTCAGTAGAGGAGAAGAGGTAGACCAAGAGAGACCTAGACACAGAACTTGACTGACTGGACAGGTCTTAGGCATGCAACCATGATGTCCATCGCAACTGACCGTCAAAGTTGAAGAGAGCTGATCAGACAGTCAGCAGCAACTGGTGACCCTACGACACGCAGTGTTACGTAATGACGATGATGACGCTTTACAAACGGCATCAAATGACATAACGACGCAGTGACGTTCAACTGTGGCGACGGAATTGCTGGATGTTCGTTACCATCATTGCCGTCATCATCGTCGTGGCATACTCGTTATCAACATCATCATTTACAACTAGTGAGAGGATGTTATATAACAAACGAGTGACTGAGCCAGCTTAGCTTTTGTTAACATGGGTTAACAAAATGTTGCATTTAAAAATGAAACATCTGCTCTTGTTTTGCAGGGTCTGGCCAATCTAACCAACAATGAGTAAATGAAGTTTTTATAGGAAGTACACGCGCGACCGGTATAATACTAACGACATGACCCATCAGGTGACGGTTGGTCCCGTGTAGGTCTAAAGACAGGGTTGGTTACCGTCATGTTCCCCTGTCACCTGTCTAAAGACCACGGTCAATGAAAATGGGACACCTTTCTGTCATGTTCTCGGGTCATGTTCCTGACTATGTTCCCGGGTCACCTGTCTGTCACTGATATGTTCCCGGTCACTTGTCTGTCATGAAACCATGTTCCCGGGTCACATGTCTATCACTGACTATGTTCCCGGGTCACCTGCATGTCACTGACCATGTTTCCGGTGTCACCTGTCTGTCACTGATCATGTTCCCGGTGTCACCTGTCTGTCAATGAAAATGTTTCCGGTGTCACATGTCTTTCACTGACCATGTTCCCGGGTCACCTGTCTGTCACTGA